TCTCTCTCTCTCTCTCTCTCTCTCTTCCCCTCCCTCATACTGGTAATGATTAAGATAATCTTAGCTGTGTTGTAAAGACGTCATTATAGTATTATTTCAAGGTTATCATGTTCTGTTCCATTTCAATTTACTTGTAAATTCTGTAATAGTAAACTGTTAGTACTGGTATAATTACCCTAACTAGTTCATTTCTACTGGTATCGGCATTCGAGGTATGGGTTGTGATCCTGTCACTGTTGGAAATAATAAACGCTATCATGTGGTTTCAAATTCAAATTACGTTTATGTGAAATATGTGAGGCAGCGTGGTGAAATCAGGCGCTCGTCAAAATAATGATAAATGAAGAAACTGGCATTTTTCTGCCATCTTGGCAAATTTTTTAAAATCGAATTTCTGTTTTTTGGCTTAACACCATTGTTGTCCGATTAAGAACACATTTCTGTGTGGGTTTTACTTTTTTTTAAACGACTATAGGCACAAATAATTTAAATTTTCAGTTTCCAAGGATTATCAAGCTATGGAAATAGATCTAACCACACTTCGGCGGCCTTTTTCTCGCTTATTCTACTTTCGAAACTAGGCAATCCAACCTTCAAATCTATCTCATATGCCTCAACTTTTATTTTTATTCGAGATAGATTGGTATTTTTTTCACCGATAGCAAGACAACTGAACAAGCTTAATGATGATGCATGTACCAGTAAGTCCACTCTTGCCAAAAAATTGACAAGCGCCTGATTTCACCACGTCGTGACACGTATGAGTCCTTCATCCAACAGCAGTAAGTAAGTCATTCTAGGGTGAACGATACTGGTCTGTTAATCGAAGAGGTGGGGTGGGGGAGGGGGGCAATAGGAAAAATATTGTAATATGATATTTTAAATGTTATGTAATGTATAATTTTACCCTTACCAGTACAACAATGAACAACGTCAAAATGACCCAACCCCCCATTGCCCTATATTATTTATAACATCATTAAAACTAAAATCCTAATCCAGTTGTTCTTTTACTTTTAATTATGCTTTCGTCAACCATTTTTACAGATGTCACTATATCATAGTATGCTTGTACATGTACTGGGTCGGGTCATTTTGACCCATAGACATAAAGTATAAAGTAGCACAATGCAAAGACTGAACTCCTCGTGGCTTATAATGCATTATCAGCACTGAGAAAGTAACTTCATCTTGTATTAAAGTTAAAGAGGCACTACTAAGTTCCAGGTTTGTCGGTCACAATAGATGAGCAACTAGTTCCTTTTAGAGGCAGGTGTGTGTTGTTTTGGGTTTTTTTACAGTACGTGCACCTACCTTCCAAGCTTGACAAGTATAGTTTGAAATAATTCTGGGTTGTAGTCTCTTGAGACATATTTCCCACTGAATGTGATTGCATATTTGGGAAAAGTTGGCCGCACTTCAACAATGAACCTTGGCAGGAACATTGCATGGCTTTACAGCTCGTTGAGCCTTTCTATCGGTCTGGTCGGAATTTAACGTGTGACAATTGGTCGCTTTTAATTATTTAAGCATAAGAGGGCTATCCCGAAAAATGCTATTTTGAGAAAATTGAAAGTAAAGTTTTTGGAACCTTGTTTAGTTTCTTTAAAAAGCAAGGAGAGTTTTCTCTATTACCAAACAAATACACACCAATGAAACCAAGCTTCTCCTAAAGGTAGGGCAATGTCCGCTTTTGGTGTAGGTCAAGATTTCTATAAACCCCCGAAATCTTTTTTTAGCCCGCTTGTCCTTAAAAGCGGACAATACTTTTTACAGACTACGAACTGATGCAAAAGTTGAACACTGAAAAAATGTACCTTGTTGGCACATTACGACACAACTAAAGGTTCATTCCATCCGAGTATCAGGACCGAAAGCTTACAGAAAAAGGGCAACCCAAGTTTTGTTTCCGAATTCATGGGATGCTCATAAGCTTTAAATCAGGAGCAAAGAAAAATGTGATCGTAATGTCAAACATGCATTAATATATGACTCAACAAGTTGTGAGTACAACAAAGGGCTGCCAGAAGTGATGGCTTATTACAATGCCACAAAAGGTGGCGTGGACACGATGGAGTTGATTGCACTCATTGTCAGCCCAAACAACAGACAAAGCGTTTGCCTCTTTGGTTATTTTCTTCAACATCCTAGATGGCTCATCCACCGCTGCCTTAACTCAGTGGTTTACTGAAAATACTTTCCAAAACTGACAATCGTCGGGAGTTTCAACTGGACATCTCCAAAGAACTCGTATTGAGGGGCGTCGTAAAACACCCAGATTGCCAAAACAATTGGCTTTTGTCATGGATCTTGCTGTTGGCAACGACCCATTCGAAGTACATGTATGAGCACCACTCCAACCACCTGCTGCAAATGTCAAACAAACCCCCTTTTGCGTCCCAAAGAAAGAGATGTGCACGATGCCCTGGAAAACTGGACAAAAAGACATAGATCTATATCTGTATATTGCTTTATAGGTTTATTGCAGCAATTGCAACATTTCAATTTGAAAAGAACTTTCTGTTGGTAATGTCGGTGGTGTCTAAGATTAATGGTTTTATGAATTGATGGAGCAGTGATTTTGTTCGCTACATAGTGTTTCAATATTTTTATACCAGTGCAGTGCCGAGTCTAATTTGTTACGATACTAAATCATACCCCTACTTTACCTCCCAACCTCGTGCCTTTGTTTTGGTTTGTTGTTTTTTGGGGTAATAGTTACTGCAATGTAATTGAAACTTAAATTGTGTCTCTTTATACTTTATCATATGGCACTCTGCTATCTACTTCACTCATGATAATATTCAGAGCAATATTTCCTCTTTGGGGGTATAAGTATATTAAGTGTCAAAAAGACCTAACCATGTACTAGATCTAAGTGTAATATTACAGTATACTCTCTCTGGGGGGCTCTTGTGGCCTAGAGGTTAAGGTGTTGGCCTCTCATTCAAAAGGTCCAGGGTTCGAATCCGGGTAGCGACCGAAAAATTTTCTTCTCTAAAATTGTCTCCTTTCACCTCCTGTCCTGCTCTCTAGCAATGTTCTGTTGTCTGCTTTCATTTCCACTTTCTGCCCCCACCCCCTCACCTCTTTTGCCCCCTCCTCTGGGCTCCTGACTCTTTCTGCAGCCTTTCTACTGCTACTCCTTGGCTCCTCCTTACTGCTGTCTTTCTGCCACACCCCTGATCTTCTGGTAGGAAAGATCTACACCTAGCCTTCTCGGACAAGGGTGAAAAAGTCTCGGAGGGCCCGTGTGCAAGTTGCGCACGTTAAAGATCCCTTGGTGGTCTAAAATCGATAAGAGTAGGCTTCGGACGCCACCCGGGCAAAATTCAAAATTTCCTACTAACTGAAAATATTAGGTTTGTCCCGCGCGCTCATATGACCTATGCAGTTGCGAGCGCCGTAAAACACTTTACAAAAACAAAACAATACTCTCTCTGGTGGTGTAATGGTCAGAAAGACCCGACATTGTTCTCGAATAAAGTTAAACGACCTTATTGTGCTTGTACTGATAGTAAAGTGATAGGGTTCAACTTCAGTCACAACACACAACCATCTGGTGCTATTGCGATATTATATTACATACGTTTTATAAAATGTTTGCTCCATGGACCAGGCGCCTAACGTCATCACATTACATACTGTTGTGTAAATTGTAGAGAATCATGTCGTTCTTCTCTTTTCAGTTCCAAATCTTTGACAAGTTATAGATGAGGCGCGCATTGGACTGAAGCTTTGAAACTGACATTCTGTGAAAATAACTTTCTAAAGAATTCCTCCCAAAAAGTTTATACATGTAAAGCTTTGTTAGACAGAAACTGGCACAGGCGCGCTGTTAGTGTTAGTTTAAGTTGGTATCATCTATTATACTCGATCATGGTGCAGATGAACAGGGTTGGGATGCCTGACGGGACATTCTTGAACACGAGTAGTTTTAAGAATTTTCAAGAGGTCTTAAATTGTTAGAGAGAGAAGTAATTTATTACATGAGTTGTGGTGGTAGACCATGATTTATCCTACGGCTGAAAATAATTGCCAAGTTGCAATCACGAGTTGAAAGTTCATTCAAATAATGTCCCTTAAGGGAAGGCGATTATTATGGTTTCAGTCAGTAGTAAGTGCACCTTCCTTGTATGAGTATGAGCATACAGTTTTTCACGGTTCGTTCGAAGGAGGTCTTACAAAGATAAAGAAAGGGGGGAAAAACGGGACCGCAGGCAAAGTTCGACGGGTGTGTGATTTCGAGTATTCTGTTTCGACCTATCCCGGACTATCCGTGTATACATGTACTGTATTTAGCTAACAGTAATATAGGATGTATGGGCATATAAAATTTAGCTAATACTATGGTAATTATGCTAACGTATATAGGAATGGAATGTATGGATTAACAACCGATAAACCTCATGTTATAACTTTCGGAAGACTGACACAATGGAAAACAACACCAAAAAAGTACCGCTGTAGAAATTGTCCAAGACGGCCACCCATTGTCCTGCAAAAAAAACTGATTGTTTTAAAACATATCGTCGCCCGAGTACAACAACCCTGTATCCCACAAAAACAAAATTTTACAAGAGAATGAAAAATAGCTTTGTCAATTCATCTAACAATGTTTGTTAAAAGATTGAAGTCGGAATGTCGCACTGGCGATGTTTATAGAGCTCCATGTCTAAATATTTGAAACAAAATCCGCAACATTACATTTAGTAAAGGAAAAAAACCCACTCTTTTTTTTTTTGTTGACATAGTTTGGGTTGCAGGGTTGTTGTACTCAGACGACGAGATTGACGTCTTGGACAGCACAATTGTAGTACAAAACATTTGTTGGGATTGGTCGTTCGAGCACTTGATTGTCTTGGACAGGTGGCCGTTAGAGCAGGTTTGACTGTCGGCCTGTCGTAATGCATTTGTAAGTTGTGTCTATACTAAAGTTTGCTGGTCTTCTGGGAATTATTTTCCTCTCAGTTTCAGTCTGCTGGGTGACTTGATTGGGGAACCAAAGACCCTCCTTTCTCAAATAAAATGGTCGCTTTCAAGCACAAAGGGGCTTTCCCTGCTGTTTTGAGAAAATCGAAGGCAAAAGTTGTTGCCCATCGATCAGTTTCTTTAAAAGACAAGGAGAGTTTTCTCTATAACCAAACAAATATACACACCAATGAAACCAAACTTCTCCTATAGGTAGGGCAATGCCCACTTTTGGTAGGGTGAAGATTTCTGCAAACCCCCGATCTCTGGGTTAGCCCTCTTGTCCTTAAGGGCGACCAATTGAAGTCAGGACTGTGTCTAGTCAAGTGCATGAGAGTTTCATGATTAAAAAGACCCCGAAAAGAGAGGATGTTTTGGGGGGGTTATTATTTTTAATTTGAGAGGGGGTGGTTAATAAGAAAAATGTTTAAAGTATTTGAAAATTATTTAGTAACGTATTTCCACCTCTCCACCCCTCTCCCATATGCTTACATTCGAACCAGAACCTCCGAGGGTTGACTACTGACTACTGGCTGGGTTCCCTGGCGACGGTTGTCACCTTAGTACTCTCTCTCTCTCTCTCTCTCTCTCTCTCTCTCTCTCTCTCTCTCTCTCTCTCTCTCTCTTTCTCTTTTTTTTCTCTCTTTCTCTTTCTCTTTCTCTCTCTCCCTCTCTCTCTCTTTCTCTCTATCTATCTATCTATCTATCTATCTATCTATCTATCTATCTATCTATCTATCTATCTATCTATCTATCTATCTATCTATCTATCTATCTATCTATCTATCTATCTATCTATCTATCTATCTATCTATCACACGCAGGCACAGAGAGAGAGAGAGATAGAGAAAGATAGAGACAGACAGACACACACATACAGAGAGAGAGAGAGAGAGAGAGAGAGAGAGAGAGAGAGAGAGAGACGGAGAGAGAGACACACTTGCGGAGAGAGAAAGAGAGAAATCGCACACATTCATGTGAGCACATAATATTCACTTCTTTTATCTGGCTCTTTCGAACCCGCCCCACCCCACCCTCAACCCAATGTCCTGCCTCTCCCCTCCTGTATTCAGGACGGAGGTATAGCATAGCAAGAAACAAGGGTGAGCTCATAATGAAGTAAAGGGGGTTTAACAACAAAGCAAGAACTTCTTTTTAACCATCATTTACTCCCCTTAGTTTGCATGCACATATTATTATATTCCCTTAATCATTTATGAAAGATGAAATGTTTCACCACGTTAAAGAAAGAATACTGCAGGTCCTGGGTAAGCTCTGATTATTTGAAGCTGACACTGACATTGATTTTTTAATAGATTACATAGTTGTGGGCAAAATATGTGGTTGCGGGGGTTAATGATTGTATAATGCGACATCAGGAAATCTAGAAACGCAGAGAGAGAGACAGACAGAGAGAGAGAGAGACAGAGAGACAGAGACAGAGACAGACAGACAGACAGAGACAGAGAGAGAGAGACAGAGACAGAGAGAGACACAGAGAGAGAGAGACAGAGACAGAGACAGAGACAGGGACAGAGACAGAGAGAGAGAGACAGAGAGACAGAGAGACAAAGAGAGAGAGAGACACAGAGAGAGACACAGAGACAGAGACAGAGAGAGAGATGGCCAGGGTGGCAAGAAAAGATGGGGGGGGGGGGGGTTCAAGCATAAAAAGGGGGGGGGGGGGGCTTTAACATTCATCAGTACCACCAAGACAATGTTTGTGTAATTAAATCAGAGGAAATCCGTAAAAGGCAGCTTACGGACAAGTTTGTGAATTGCCAGGTAAAGGAGACCCTCCCCATTCACAATCCCACACATCCGACACACACCTACACGTTGGCATAAGCCAAACATTGCATAACATAATCATAATAATATAGTGTAAAGCTCATAGAGCCTGCTGTTGAGCGGGGATATGCGCTATACAAATGCTATCTATTATTTATTATTATTATCCTGTTGAAAACGATTGGAAGACACGCTAAAAAGTATGATACAAAGTTTATTTTGCGTGATAAGAGGAAGAAAATTCCTGCATCCTGGCAGGTTTCAGTAATGCGGGAAACTACTGTTTTCAGATTATTTGCCATGTCCTGCTTCACTTACACCACCAATGCCTGTTGTATACCGCACGCCATAGCGTTAAGGACGAATGTAATCGTTAAGACACAAGTAGACTTGCGAGACAAAAAAGTTGATGGCCTATCAAGGAATGTGTTTGTCGGATAAGAGGCACCGAAGTTTTTGTTAATTACCACACTTCAAAACAAAACTGATCATTGAGTCATTGTTTCTTGGCGTTTTTTTCTGACCTGTTTTAAAACATATTATTACCTGTACGTTAGGGGCCTGTATGCCCACTGAATACCTGACTAATGGCGTTCTTCTCACATTTTAATTTCTAATCTCGTGTACAAGACGTAGGGCAACTCTGAAGCTGTGAGGTGTTGGTAAAAAAGTTTCGTCCAAGTCCAATAGGCGTACGCGCCGATACGGGAAATGGCCAGGCTCTTCCCTTTGAGCACAAGGGGCCCGAGTTGATCTTGAACGGTTGGGATATTTCATCGAGTTTGTCTATTGTTTTTTTTCCGGACGCATACAGTAATAATTTTATGGGTTGCTCTCGTGGTCTTTGCCTCTCATTCTTTAGGTCTCAGGTTCAAATCTGGACAGCGACGGAAAGTTTTTTTCTCTTTCAAAAAATTGTATCCTTTCACATCCTTTCCTGCTCTCCAACAATGTTCTTTCGTCTGCTTTCGCCTCCACTTTCTGCCCCTGGCCTTTAATCTCCTTTGCCCCATCCTCTGGGCTCCTGTCTCTTTCTGCAGCCTTATATAAGATTATTATATATATATATATATATATATATATATATATATATATATATATATATATATATATATATATGTACATATATATATATGTACATATATATATATTGTTATTGGTTTCAGCAGATGAGGTCAGTGAGCATTTCATTATTTTTTCTTCACGGCCATTTCATTAAATCAGAACTTTATTTCTGGACTGCAGCAGAGGCTTAGAGATACATGAATCTACAACACATTGGAAACTAGTGAAGGTGCACGAGGACAAAACCAGTCAGATCTGCATCATCTTCTGCAGCAGATTGAAGTAGGACGTGGCAGCGGCCTGGAAGCCATGATAGAGAAACGGCGACCTCGCGGTGGTCGTGGCTGGCGAGAGCGGTGACGTCAGCAGGGGCAGAACAGAGAGGTGGCCTCGACCAGGGGCGAAGACACCGGGGAGGCTGGTGTAGTTTCTGTCCTCGGTGTCACAGCCCAAAGGACGGGTCGCCGCTGGGAGCGCTTGTTGAGCGAGCTGCTTCTTGTGTTTGGTTCTGAAAATGTTCAATAAAAAAGATTAATTTTAATGTTTGTCTGTGTGTCTGTCTGTGTGTCTCTCTGTCGGTCTGTCCGTCTGTCTGTCCGACTGTCTGTCCGTTTTTGTGTGTGTGTTTGTGTCTGTCTGTGTCTGTCTTTCTGTCTCTGTCTCTGCCGTTCTCTCTCTCCCTCTCTGTCTCTCTTTCTCTCTTTATCTATTTCTCTCTATCGCTATCTCTCTCTCTCTCTCTCTCTCTCTCTCTCTCTCTCTCTCTCTCTCTCTCGCTCTCGCTCTTTTAACTGAGAAAGATAAAGTAAAGTACAATAAAGGCTTTAAAAGAGGCAGACAAAGACGGAGAGCGGCAGAGAATTATAATTATTCTCAGCGATGGAAGTTGTCAGAAATACTATGTAGGCTAGAGGCACATGATGAGTGCAAATAAAAATAACCCTCTGCTCCTTCGCAACGACACTGTACGCTTCTGTATAGACTGTCCACTACACAAACAAGTGGTGGGGTTCACCTTCTATTCTGGAACCAGGCTTTGACTTGATTCTCCGTGAGTCCCAGGGTCTGAGAAAGAGTTTCTCGCTTGTCTGAGCTCAAGTATCTGTTGTGCTGAGGACGAATATATAAAACATGTGTCATTACGGAAAAACAAATAAGCAAAAAGGGAAAGAAGCAAAACATCCGTGTTGTTTGAAATTTTGAAAAAAAACAAACCCACAACCAGGACTGTGTACATGCGCGCGCGCAAGCTTGGCGTGTGTGTGTGTGTGTGTGTGTGTATGTGTGTCTGTGTGTTTGTGTGTACGGTGCATTTATGTGTGTATGTGTGTCTGTGTGACGCATGTATGTATGTATGTGTGAGTGTGTGTGTGTGTGTGTGTGTGTGTGT